GTTAAATTTATCATTTTAATGATAGAGACATGTTGGAAATTTTGCAAAACTTTTATTGTAGATCTTAAAATTATAGGTCTTAATTTTATGGCTTCAACCAAAAATATTTTGATGATTACACCAAAGTATACACTGAGAATTTGAATGTTTCAAAATAATCATAGTGTAGAGCTCGAAAATACAAATACAACGTCTTTCGAATCACTCAAATGAGAGTTCAGACGAGTAAGTTATAGTCAAAATAGATGAGGAGAAAAATCCTACATGGCGGATGACGTGTTCAAGTGAACCATTCAGAAAACACATGAGAGGACGACATGTGGCGCTTTCAAATATGAAGATTCAAATTTTTATATTGCACTTTATTTTCTTTTTTAGCAAATAAGAATACTTGAACCCAAGAACTCCAAAATAAAAGATAATGGTCTACCCACCCCACCAAACAAAGTATATAAACTATGAGAGATATATGAACTCTCTTAAAAAGACAATCATGCTTGGTGGTGATTCAGGATTGTCTCTTGAATAGACAACATGCCTAATTTTTCGAGCATTATTATTAGAAATAGTCGGGTGGAAAAACTTGAACCCAAGAACTCCTAGGATTTAGGAAAAAAATGAGAGACAAAAGATAACATTCTTCTAACTATTCAAGAACAAAAGACAAACTATTTTCAAAGCATTATTCTTCGAAATAATCTGGTAGGGAGCATATTTCTAGAAATAGTTTAAGAAAAACAATATTTAAGAAAAAAATCTTATGTTTGGATCTTGAACTAGTAAAAAATCTCTGGGAGAAAACTCAATTGGTTGGATCGGCCATGAGGTTTCTCTTTGGCTTAGAGCCTTAAGATAATAAGATGGTCGATCGATTTCGTTTTCACCCGTTGAACAATTACAGTAAAATACTTGAGAATGAGTCTTGAGTAGTAGAGTAGGCATTGCCAAACCACTATAAAAATTTATAGTGTCACCTCTTATCTTTTCTTCTCTTATCTTCTTAGTTTATCGTATTTAATTTTTTTTTTGAGTTAATTTTGCTACATTGCATGATATGACTATTTAACTATTTTGCACATAATAACTCTTCTTAATTGTTAATTAATTTTGTTGATTGTCTAATGGTTTGATTTCTCTTGAATTTATTTCTAAATTTGAAAAGTTGGCAAGTAATCCTATTCATCCCTTCTAGCACCAGCATAAAACCTAAACGACTAGAATAATAATTTAACTTAAATAGTTATTATGGGGTTTTTTTTTTCTTAAAATTAATATTTGTTATGTATTTTACACTGCGTATCATTTTTCTTTTTTTACTAAATATATCAATTGGTTACTAATCTTGGTAGCTTTTCTCAATTTGGTCTTAATTTTTTTGAAATTATCAATTTTACCTTCAGTATATTAAAAATCTCCATTAGATTCTTTCGTAAAGAAAATCGTTAAAATTTGTAACATAAAGTTAACATTATTAAATTATTATTCTATTAACATATTTAGACATGTGATTCAGACAATGTCACCGGATAATAATAGATGCTTAGATTTAGACAATGTCACTTGATAATAATAGATTTTTTTAATCGGCACTGACCGAATTTTGTTGATATATAGATTGCATTTTAGGTGTCAAAATAGTATATTTAAGAGGATGTTCATATGTTTAAATATATCTTATTGAGACAATAATCTAATGGCAAATATTTTTTTTTTCTTAACAAAATTTTAGCAATGGAGAATTCTTAATACATTAAACATAAAATGGAAAATTTTGAAAAATTTGAGGATGAAATTAAGAAATGACACAAAGATTAGGACCATTTTTGTATATTTAGTTTTGTTTTTTTAGTGGTATAAGTATTAACCAGAAAGATAGAGATGTACTTCGGTTATTCCTAAATTTAACCTTTGAAAAAAAGATTTTTATTTTTTTATTTTTTTATTTTTTAAGAAGAAGAAGAATGTTAATCTAATAATGATAGTAATTTTTAAGGATTAATGATTTTCGTCCACTAAATTCTTTTGTTTATCTGAAAGTTTTTTTTATTAAATAAAGAAAAAGGCAAGATTCTGTAGATATTGTAAATATATTATCTATGGACCTTACAAAATAGCAAAAATACAAAAAGAAATTTGACCAAAATAATTGATGTGGTTGAAATGATTTTCAAGTCCGCGAATTAATATATATTTGAAGTAACGTTATTCATTTACTCCGTGTTAAATAACAAAAAGATCAAAATAATTATCTCCTAGAAAAATTTAAATATTAAAATATAGATACTTAAAAAATTTAAGGTCACTTTTTACAACTTTCTTTTCTAGGTTCTTATTTATTATTTATTCATCCTCCAATTAAGCAAAATATAATTATTTTTTATAACTATTTATTGTTTCTGATTCTTCCACGATCATGGTTTGTTTGTTATTCTCTTAAATTAGAAAAAGTAAAAATTTTATATGGAAATTACATAATTCAGATTACTATTAAAACTTTTTATGTTATATTTATTTTTCGAAATTTATTATACATTTTTTAAGTATAAAATAATATTTTTATCTATGTTTTGTACAACAAATTAGAAAAAAATATTTTGTTCTCAAAATTTCTACACAATGTTGAAAACATTTCTTACAAATAATAAACATAAACTTTTAAATTGTATGTTTGTAAACAATTGAAAATAAGAAACAATTTTCCAATTTTATAAAACAATACTACAAAATGGGCACTTACCAAAATAAAATAATTTTAAAGTTGGAAGAATTAAAGAGAAAAAAAAAAACTTTTGACTTGGTAAACTTCATAATGCCTGTGTACAAATTCTCCTCAAAACAAAACAAAAAGGAAAAAAGTAAAAACCAGAGGCGACCACAGAAATTTAGGGTTCATTCTGTCTCTCTCTTCCTTATGATGAGAAAGACAATTTACCCAAATTTCGAACAATTTGTTTCGCACTTTACCCAAAAGTGATTTTTCACCCTTTTTTGTCTTTTGTTTTTAAAAGGATGTTCTTTCCTTTTGATTTTCAGGAGTAGAATTTTGTTCTGTTCTTTTGGTTATTATATATAATTTTTCTTTTCTGTTTGTCATTCTCCTTTTAAGATTATCAAGTAAAAATAAATGATTATGAGATGAAAAAGAAGATAATGTGGTGTTGATTGCCAATTCAAAATAGCGGTTGGAGTTGGAAACCATATACATAAATAAATAAATAAATAAAATATATATTAATTGTAAGATGTTACCTAATTCTAACTACCATTTTGAGTTGATCACTAACTACCAATTGCATGGAGAGAGAGGTTGGATTAGAAATGGAAGTAGGAGATCAGTCAATGGAGAGAAAAAGAGGTCAAGGGTATTTTGGTCCTTTTATACAAATTTAGTTCAATGGAACAAAATTAGTAAGAATAATAATATAGATAACGCTGTTTTCTTTTCTTTTCTCTTTTAAATTTCTCGGAATTTATGTCCTGTGGCTTACACTAGTAGATTTCTATAATTGGGGCTCGTTGCCTAAGCTATATAATACTATGACCAGTGCAGGACCCGAAGACAATACTTCTTATCCATGTGTCATCCTTTAGAGGATAATAATAAAGAGGGTTTCTAAATTGAAATTAAGGTATATTAAATTTACGTCAACATGTCAACATCTCCATATATTATACAAGTTTCATCAATTGCAAGGTGGTGGAAGACAAATTATGGCCTAAGTTGGGGTTTGGCTAGGACTAGGGAAAAATGATGTGTAAGGTCTCCATTAACGAAGAATGAACAATTCATCTCACAGCGGGAGTGATTAACTTCTAATACTTTTTCAAATTAATAATTGAACTTAGCTTCTTTTTTCTTTTAGATCTTTCAAGAAAATATACATTTTTGGTATAATTTTTTTAAAAGGTATCTAATACATTTTAAGGTCTTAATTTGGTGTCTAATAAGTAAAGAACAAAGTTAGAAGGTTTTTTTAAAAGGGGGACAAATTTTTATAAAAATTTAGAGGGGGGCAATGTATAGAAAAAAAAAAAACTACAAAAATTTTTTAGTATTCCATCGTTGGCAATTGCCCCCATCTCCCCTCTAATTCCTTCTTCAAATTCCTCGTAACTTTTAATTTTGTATCTAATAAATCATTGATATCGAATTTGCATTTTGAAATTTTGAGGATCGCATTAGACATAAAAAAAAAAATAATTTTATGTCTAATAGATCCATTAATTTTAAAATGTTGAATATGTGAGAGATCTATTAGATGCAACAATTGAAAGTTCAAAGATCGACATACTTTTAAAATTTAGGAGTTATTAGACACAAAATCGAAAGTTCAAGAACCTATTATATACAAACTTACAAGTTCGTGACTACACCTGTAATTGAATCTGAAATTTATGTAGCATCGAGCTAATTAGGCAAGTGGAATCCTTTTGGCCAACATGTCAAAACTCTTAGGCCTTCATTTTCTACACTTTTGCACTTGTTCATTCTCATACTTACTTTGAATATTAAAATTTATTAGTTAACATTATGTGTGTATATTCTCAACCAAAATTTTAATTAGAATTAAGGCGAACATCCTTCTTTTTTCCTATATCATGACTAACCACTTAGACAACAATGAAATGTATATTGTCATTATTGATGTTACACTTGCGTTGAAAATTATATTAAGACCAGTTTCATAACGTTTATGTTTTGTGGTAACCATTTCTGGTTCTTTACAATTTCAAATTTTAAAAAAATTATATGAAAATTAAAAATTTAGATTAAATATTCAAATTTTCTACATTTTATTATTTATTTATAAATATTTATTATACATTTTATCATTAAGAATAATAAAATAAATGTTTTTATTTATGTTTTTAGGGGAAAAAGTAAGAATCAAAACAAAAATGTTGGAAAGTTTCTTATAAATGAGAACCGAGAAATATAAAATGGTTACTCAAGAATTAAAAGGGAGAAACAAGAAATGGGAGCATTACCGGGCTCATAATTTTCCATCAAACTCTTTCACTTGCAATTACTTAACATAATAATTTGAATTATCTCTCATCGATACAACTACAACTAGGTATATATCAAAGCCATGTCTCAGCCACCATATGACTAAAAGAGGCAACAAATCAAGCAAAAACTTGAAGGCTTTAACATAATCCTTAAAGTTTGCCCTGTAAATCACACTGTATATGTACTTCCATTTCAGCTCCCAAAGAACTTCATCACACGACACGGAAAGAATCCGCTATCCTTTTCAAGTCGCCGTAATGTCTCTTCCATTGAAGACCTGTAAAATCCCGGGAGAAAAGCTTCTTCAGTTCAGCTGGAAAACTTATGTAATTTAAGCCATATCATATCAGCAAGGTTCTTGATAAAGGCTCTTACCATTTGCTGTTACATTGAAGAGATATAGACGATTTCCCGCCGCTGTCGCCGTGATTAAAACGTGAGGAGGCTCCAATTCAAACTGATAATATGTTCTTCCAGAATGCTCTGCCACATTCATGTTTATCACCTTTCCTTCTACATTTTCTCCGATCACTTCAGGCCCGAATGCGTTGATTACTTTCTCTGGGGGTCCGACCATTTCGATGGTTGCATCCTCACCGATAACTTCACAGGACAATGAAAATAAAAGCATCAGTTTGAGGGAATGCACAAACTAAACAAGAAGCATAAATTTCGAGGAAATGCACCATCGGAAAATCGACGAACAGGTGCAACGATAACAAAGAGTCGGCCTTCCTTTGAGCTTCCAAATCTAAGATCAATCTCTGTCCCACCAAGATCAGCAATTGATACAGGAACCTGTTACATAAATGCACATTGTATCATGTATGCTTTAGTCAAGACGAACATGAAATTAACTTCCATAGAGTTATCTAACTAGCATGAGAATTTTAGATTCTATGTCAATGGGATTTTTCTCTGCTTATATATATACACTTCACCCCACTAGTCAACGAAAAACATGACGTGGCCCAAAGCCAATTGTAGAAGATATCTTGAATTTTCTTTAATTAACTCTTTAGAGGACAACTGTCTGCCCCTACAATATTTGATTGTCAGGAAACTGAGTAGAGTAGAAGCACCAACCTAACAGAGGACCTAGACTACGTACACAAGCCCACCTGAAGCACCAACCTAACAGATGGGGCGACCTCGAGGGGATTGTGTTAGTATCTTATCAGTTTCAATGGTTGATCTAGTTTAAGTAGTTTTTTCATTTAATGAAGAAGCTGATTAGAGTAGAAGCGATTTGTTTCCGTTTGCATCAGCATTTTCAACAGGGACGATAAGGGCAAAATCAAGCAAAGCATGTACCTCTTCCCAGTCTTGTGGAACTGAAAAGACATAAGGAATAATAGGACTCCATCCGACGCCATGCCCACCGGACTTCTCGTCGGGTCTACGATATGTCCTCCAACCTGTCTGAGCAGGCAACAAACAAGAAACCAGATATGCTGAGCTTGAGTTGAAAAGGGAAAGCAGTTACAAAACATTCAAATGCTCAAAATGGAATTTTCTAGATGGATGTTGATTCATGAAGTAGAACTTTTTCTATGTTGATCACAAGGCACTGCCACTGCATAAGCATAGCATAAACACTATGCAACTTGATATGGAAAAATATGGCATGATCAGCCCTGTTTGTTTTCTCAGTGACGGTGGAGATTCAGCTATAGGCCCCTCCCAACAAAAAAGCAAGGTGTTCAAACAAAATCCCACATTGGTTAGGAAAGAGAGTGATCCATAATATATAGATCAAGGACAATTATCTATATTGTTATGAGGCCTTTTGGTGGGTAAAACCAAAAGCAAAGCCACTTTAGGTATCGTTGTCCTTAACAAAATTATCACTCTAACCCTTGTATGTTGTGGTTTTTAACATTTTAGTCCCTATTGTTTAAGTTTAGCTACTATGTTTATCTAAATATATCAATTCAGTCCTTAATATTAATTTGACATGGTAACTTGATATGATACCACCATACCTCTGTATCACAATTTACTTTAACTAATAAAACTTAAAAGAGACTAAATTAATACATCTACAAAAACAGAGTTGCCAAAATAAAACAATTGAAAGTCCAAACGAAACTGTTCAATTAACAAACTACATCCATCACCTAAAAGGAAACAGAAAATTATCCACCACATTCACATTCTAAATCTCATTCACCAACACAACTACATGGCACAGAATCCGAAGATTTCACCAAAGCAAACACATACACAAATCACACATACATTCCAACTAGAAATGGGTACTACAAAATAGCAATCAATGAGATGATAAAAGCCAACCCTGTTCATCTGGTTCGGATAATCCCGGTATCCTCCCTGCCAGAAGACCTTGCTTAACCGCAGCCAAACAGTGGTCGTGCAGCCCCAATGGCGCAGTAGAAAGCAAAGAAATCCCCGATGCCAAAATCGATCTCCGATTCAAATCCCCTAGCGGCCTCTGGTTCTCTCCATCGGCGACTGAAATGGACTGGGGATGGAGAATGGGAGAAGGGAGTTTTGGGTGGTGGAAGTTGCAGGAGAATCTGTAACTGGTGAATAATGAAGTTCCCATTGAATCGGATGAATTTGGGAATGGAGGAATGGCGGATGATGAAATGAAATGGAAGAGATTAGAAATTGGAAGCCCAGAGAGGGATTTGGTTGTTTGATTTTGTGTGGACTATAGACGTTTTAAAGACCACAACCTGAGCTTTGCATCTGTTTGGAGCCATGTAGATAAAGAGGTTTTCTTCATCAAAAATTAATAATTTACTTCAATGTAGTTCAAAGTGTTCAATTCAATCCATTCAAGAAATTAACTCCAAATAGTTTTTTCTGTTTTGAGTTGAATGCGGGATCGGAAGATCGAACCTTTGATATGTAAGAAGGTAAAAAAATGTCTTATCCACTCGTCTTTAGATTCGCCTTTCATATATTTTTAGTCCCTCATATTTGGGTGTTAATTCATAGTAGTCTCTATTCATAGAGAATGAATGTTAAAATTGATTGATGATAAATTTATAAATCATTTGAAGAAGTAAAATGATATCTAAAAGAGGGAAGTTTCTAATTCTTTCTCCAAAATTTTAAATTAGTTAATGATTAAACTTGCATGATATGATGGAATGGAGAATGTTCCAATAGTTGTTTCGATTTGTTCCACACTTAGACAACTCGATAAAGGAGGTTTTAGTTATAAGTCATAAGTTCAAATTTATAAATGTCCACTTATAAAAAAGAAAGTTAGTCTTAGAAATGGTTTGAATGTTTTAAATAGAACCTCAAATTCATTGTGGTTTTAGGACAAAGCGATAAAGAAGAAATGTTGTTTGACACTACAGATTAGCTCGTCTCTCAAAGAGACTTAAATGAATCACACAAACAAGTTTTATTTAGTAAATTCAAATCTCTGGAATTACGTGAGCATTGAACTATTGGAAAATCAACCAAGATGAAATTTTTTGAAAAAGTAGAGAGCTATGTAAAGGAATATATGGTAGATTATATTCACTCGGACTTATGGGATTTGTGGGGTTTCAATCCTTGAAGGAACAAAATATGTTATAAGTATTTGTTGATAATTTCTCTAGGAAATTGTGGATGTTTAACTTGAAAAGCATTAGTGATACTTTTGAAACCGTTAGACATTGGAAAATTCTTGTTAAAAATCAAACTGGAAAAGAAAATTAAAGTTTTGAGAAGATCAGCCTTTTTAACTTGGAACGAAGAAGTTTGGACTGGAAATTTTTATTTGTGAAAGGCCAAGAGGTATGGGGCTGACTTTCTTTGTAGTTTGTGGAAGCCGATGTCTTTAGCCTTTTGTTTTGAGAAATTCTTGTAAGAAATGAATGTTTCACAAATGTCTAATTTTATAATTATTTACACTTTTATATTTTCAACTCTAAAACATGATTTTTGTCATCAAAATACCTTCATTTATGATTCTCCTACCACATGAGATTTTAAATTATACTTTCCTAATAATTTGATTTTCCAAATATATTTATTAATAATTAATATTTAAAATATTGAATTTTTATTAATTAATGGAATATAATTCCTAATAAAACAGTATAATTAATCTTATGAATTTCTCTATTAACCCATTTTCTTTCCATTTATTGTGTTGACAAACATCTTTTTTTTATTTTTTATTTTGTAGTTTACGCCTTTTTTTTTTTTTGAAAAAATCATTATCGTTTGTTCGTGTAATTGTGGTGGTTAGCAAAAATATTTTATATATTTAAAGAAATGTCACCAACTTTTCAAAATTTCAAATATAGCAAAATATTTGAATTTTTTTTTTCAGAATTTTTATTATTCCAATTTTACCCTTATCATATCTGATATATATCCAATGTATATCTATATTTGATATTTATCCAATGTATATTTATATCTGATATACATCCAATTTATGTATGATATACATAAATTTGTATATGATATACATCAAATCTATATCTAATGTACATCTGATCTAACTCTGATATACTTCCGATATGCATTCAATGTACCTCTAATAGACAGTATCAGATGTACCATGATATACATTATCAGATATACCACTGATATACATCAAATGTACGTATTATACATAATATATATATATATATATATGTATGATGTACTTCTAATTTACTAAATAAATTTCTAACTGATATACTAAATATATTTGCAACATATTTGCAACGGATATACTAAATATAAGGTATATCAAATGTTTAATTTTTAGTGGTATATCAACTGTTTAAATTATAGTTTATCATTTCAATTTGTTGATTAATATACTAATATTATAAATAATGTTGAATACTATATCACTACTATTTATTCAATATTAATATTAATTAGATATTAAATATAAGCGATATAAACTATTTAAATTTATAAAGTATATCAAAATTTTAACTCGTCTTTTTGGACGTGCATGGTTCACATAAACCTTTTATATAATAACTTTATATTTCAAAAATAAAAAATAAAAAATCTTGCATCATTGTTTTCATATGAAAAAAATATTGGATATAATAGTATGATATCAACACACATATATGGTAGTTATATTAGTAGATATAATGGTTATATCAGAGGTATATAAGTGGTAAATTGCAAGCATATTAAGTATATATCAGTGTTATATTAGTGGTAGATCATATAATCGTATAAGAAGTTATATAAGTAGATACCATAGTTATATCAGTGGTATATCATTTGTATATCAATGATAAATTAAAGTCATATAAAATATATATCACATATATATGTATTGTATCAGTGTGGTAAATCAATGGTTATCATACGTGTATAAGTGGTAAGACATGTTAGAAGTTCAGTAGATATCATAGTTATATCAGAACTAAATCAATTGTATACATTATTATATCAATAGTATATTAGAGATATATATCAGTAGTCAGATATATTACAGATATATATTAAATATATTAAAGGGTGAATTTGTAATTTTACAATTAGACCTCCTTTTCTTTTTGTTGAAGAAACTGCTGTATTTGAAAAAACTAAATGAGTTGTTATTTTGCTTATTTTACTACAACTTTCTACCATATTTCCAAGTGCCCTTTCTGATAAAAAATATTATTGGATTTATTTATCATTTTTTTCCTCGGGTCGCCGACAACTATGATTGACGTTATTTTTTTATTTTTTATTTTTTGCTTTAATTACCATGTTTTACTCTATTTTTTTGGACGTTTTTTTCGTTTGGTAAAAAAGGTGTATATACTCAGAATTTGTCCTGTAGGTTTTTTCGGTATTATTTGATTTAGTGACTAGTACGCACACATATATATATTTTAAAATATCAAGAATTTTGAAAAAAAAATTGACCATACAACAAAATAGCGAAGACCTAACAAAAAATAAGGAGAATTAGCCCAGACTCAAACAACCTTAGCCAAAACTAGACAAGGATTGGTTGCTATTAAGGAGAACGAAAATGAGATGCGTCCAGAGTTAGTTTTGTTAGTAGTCAACGAAGCTCAGGATCATGTCCATTGTTTGGATATGTATGAATAATCTACTTCTAATCGATTTAAATTACATGTATATAGTTTTGATGCTGGTTGGATATTGTGGTGTGACAAAGTTGTGTAGCTATCCTTCAGTTGTGGTAGCCAATTAAGAACCAGTTATGATATTTGTGATGTGGAGTGAATAGTTGTGTGGGCTATCTTGCAAGTGATGGTAGTTAATTAAGAGTTGTGTTGATATTTATGGTTGAGAGAGTTTTTAGGATTTGAAGCGTGTGTTTAATAAGTGTGAGAGTGCGAAGTCACGTTGTTAGGAATAAAGTGAACAAAGATGTGTTGGTCATGCGTGGTCGATATAGTTTTTAAACATGTGTTGGTGGAAGCATTAATTTATGGCTTTGTATTGCAATATCTTTATTATGTGTTGGGAGCCATACAAAGTTTGAAACGCATGTAATATCATGATATTAAATGTCTATGCATGAAGCTATTACTTATAGAAAATTTTGCTAAGGAATTATGTGTTGGTATGAGCAGGTTAGGAGGTGGTCGATCATAAGAATAACGCTAAAAATTTGGAACTGGAATTGATTAATAAGTCAGGAAGATAAAATGTTGTATTGGTGTGTTGTCAAACTTGATAGGTACAACGATGTGTTGCTCTTTATCAATCATGTGGTCCATCTCAAAATCAATCGACAATGAGAGGAGTAGGTCATGTCTATTATATCCTTTTTTTTTATCAATGCGAGATCCTTAACATGCTCCCTCAAGATTGTGACTCTTTTGGTTTGTCGATTTTTGCCGGATCCCATTTTTGGATCGATGGCTTCTTTTATCAAGGTGACATCTACCCCCTTAACGCAATATTGATATGAGTACAACCAATACTGACCCCTTGACACAATATTGATATGAGTACAACCAATACTAACAGTAAGACATTGAATTTCTTATCTATTTTATCAATATAACTGCAGACTCTTTATATAGAAGAGGTGCAGTCAAAATATTACAAAAAGATTACAAAATCTAACAAATTCAATTTGACAAAATCACCGGTCCAACTAACGGCAACAAATATGCATTTAGTTGTTATTATAGGTTCAACCAAAATAAAGATAATCACGTAAAAAGCCACCTCAACAAACTTAGTGTGCTACCTTAATATCCCCTCAAGCTAATAACTTCACGAGAAAAGACAATGAGCTTGTCACAAATAGGGAGAAACAGATTCTAACAAAATCACGAACAAAGTAAATATCTAACTCAACATGTTTTGTTCGCGAGTGCAAAACTGGATTCGCACTAAGATGTACAGCCTCCAAATTGTCACACCACAATACTGGAGGTTGACTGGAAATAGTGGAAACTCCTTTAAAAGAGAATGCAACCAAATAAGTTCCGTAGCAACATTAGCAATTCAACGAAACTCAGCTTTGGTGCTTGACCGTGAAATAATTTGTTGCTTCTTGGATCCCCTAGTAACAAGATTACCTCCAAAATATATACAATAGTCGGAGGTGGACTTTCTATATCATCCGGGTCGGAGGCCCAATCGGCATCAGCAAATCCATTGATAAGATGGGAAAGTTTAGATAATAACAAACCATGATGTAATGTACCTTTCAAGTAACGAAGGATCCGTTTAACCGCTTGCCAATGAAGAAGGTTGATGCATAAACTGACACACACGATT